CAATGTTTGAATAATATTATTGTTTATTTCATGGATGCTGATATTCTCTAAGTCGTCTGTAGCCAAACTAGTCCTATTATTGTCTTCATAAAGTGTTAATATCTTCTGAGAACATCCGTCTTTCACTCTTCTTTTTGAGGATCATTTTCTTTTTTTGACATTAATGTTGAATGTGGTTGTTGCTTTAATTAATCTATAATCACTCCCTGTTGAAAATTAATTCAAAACTGTTACATCCTGAACTATATTTTTCCAATTTAATATTATGAAAGTAATCTTATTTTTTGCTTTTTGCTTTGGACACTTACATGCCCACTTGGGGCATGCCATATAAAGGAAACTTTCCTGGTGTAAGAAGTCTAGAAGCTTGTTACCTATCTTATTTTTCTCGCCAAATTTCCACAGCAGATTCTGCCTCATCTTGTTGGAATTCCAATTTGGAGTTGAAATGCTCAACGCTGATCTGTGTGCTCTGATATCTTCATAAAATGATCAACTTCCTCATCTGAATGGCTCGTAGTTGGCGCTTAAGCCTATAAAAGTTTATATCTTGGATTTAATTGAATAAGATAAATAATTCGGGTACATACACTTGCAATTATGTTTGGGGTCAATTTTTTATGGATTAAAGTATGAGTATATTTCAGTAAATATATTTTACGTAAATACATTATGTGTTTTATTCCCAAAAAATCATTCATATTTTATTATTTTAAAAATAAAAAAAAATATTTAAAATTCTTTGTAAAAGGTATATAATTGAAACACCCAATTGGACTACATTACATTACAAAACGTTTTCAGAATATATATTCCATCATCAGTGTGTCTCGTGTATATGTTTTGAGCGCTAAATATTTGGGTAAAAACCCGTTAAATTTACCCGTTACATTATTGGATCTTATATCTTATGATGTTAAAGTTGAGTTGAATTGGTGGTGAATTGATAACATGGTAAAGTAAGACTTTACATGAGGTTGCTGGTCCTGAGACAAAGTGTTTACGAGGACTTGTTAATAGCAACTGAGCCCTGTACGGTAATTATAAAGATATTTTCCTATTATCAATAGTCTTCAAACTTTTTACGAAAATAATAAAAAGAAGGCTAAGAAGAGAAATAGAAGAAAAACAAGAAAACAAGCAGACAGCATTCAGAGCCAAAAGACAAACAAGAAACATAAGCATAATACGAAATATAATAGAAAAAATATTGTCCAGGGAAACAACATATACATTACATTTATATACCTTAAAGCTACGTTTGACCGAAAATTAATGTAGAACACAATACAGGAGCTGAAAATACCAGAAGAGTTATTATAGGTAATAAGAAGTATGTACGGCAGAGTGGTGGGAAAAGTATAAATAGAAGGCAGCAGGTTACGAGAATTTAGGATGAATAAGGGGATAAAGTTATTTACAAATGTAACAATAAAACACTGAAAACTTTGTTTTCAAACTTCCACAAAATTTATTTGAACTATTATCACTACAGCTGTTTCGGCTGATAGCCTTTCTCAAGTGATCTATTTTTGGCATGCGTTTACAATTTATAGTCTCTAATGAAATAGGTTGAGGAGGGGAGAACTGTTTGTCTCAAGTTGGTCATTCAGAATTATATCTGTGTTTTTTAATTTATTGATTTCCATAGATTCTAACAAAGATAGCTTAAGGCCTTTATTTTGAACGTGAAGAATTTTAAATTTGTCATTAAAAGAATGATTATGATCTAGAAGGTGAAGTGCGTATGTCGAATCTGTTTTTCTATTTTTGCCCAAAAACTTACATCGGTCAAACTGGTAGAAACTTTGAGAAACGAATAGCAGAACATAAAAGGGCTTTCAAAAATAGAAAAACAGATTCGACATACGCACTTCACCTTCTAGATCATAATCATTCTTTTAATGACAAATTTAAAATTCTTCACGTTCAAAATAAAGGCCTTAAGCTATCTTTGTTAGAATCTATGGAAATCAATAAATTAAAAAACACAGATATAATTCTGAATGACCAACTTGAGACAAACAGTTCTCCCCTCCTCAACCTATTTCATTAGAGACTATAAATTGTAAACGCATGCCAAAAATAGATCACTTGAGAAAGGCTATCAGCCGAAACAGCTGTAGGTGATAATAGTTCAAATAAATTTTGTGGAAGTTTGAAAACAAGTTTTCAGTGTTTTATTGTTACATAAAATGAATTTCCATCAAGTAACGGTCGAATCCATCAATTATTTACAAATATAAAAAGCACAAGCAATTTAAAGACAACAATGGGTTATACACACATAAAGCAAGGTAAGATAAAATAATTACTATATACAGACGACTTGGTACTTACAGCGGACAAACAGAAAAAGATGCAACGACTAATGAATATATGGATTAAGAAAATAGAAAAAATTAAGTTAGAAATAAACATTAACAAATGCAAGACTAAGAAAATAGGTCACTAGGAGAAGAATATTAGATATGAAACCCGAGTGCTCTGTACAGGACAAATAAATTAGAGATGGTGACAGCCTCCGAGTATCATGTCACGATTATATTAAACGATGGAAAATTGAATATTAGGATATTGAAAAAGAAAGGAATTAATCAAGAAACTAAATTGCATCTATATAACGCAATCACAGTATCAACAGTCCTATATGCTAGCGAGACATGGGTTACGAATAAAAGATACTAAGTACCATAAATGCAGCAGTAATAAAGCAACTGGGAAAACAAAGCTGGACAGGGAAAGAAAAGATATGAGAAACCAGCTAAAATCTAAACCAGTAGAGAAAAAAATGAAAAAAGAAAACTGAACTGGTATGGATATATAATTAGAATGGACGAGAACAAACTAGTAAAAAAGTGACACAGGTCAAAAGACAGGGAAGAAAAAGGAGTGGACCTAGGTTGGAGTGGATGGAAAAAATCTAGAAAATCGGCACCAAGAGAGGGAAAACAGTGCGACAGATGACAGAATACTGGAAGGCGTGCAAGAATTGGGTAAAAAAAAGATAAATGCCAACAAGATCAGAAGCTCTAATTAATTAGTTAACCTAATAAGATATCGGTAGGATACCCAGCGAAAGTTAAAATACACATATTATGGTCAAATGCGTTTAAAAAAAACAGGCAGTGCTGCATATTATCACCAACATTATGCAACATATATTCTGAAGATATAATGAGGCAAATATAAGATGAATAGGATGGAGTAATTACTATAGAAGGCAGAAAATCAGTAACCTGCAATGCTTAGATGTCACACTTATACTAGCATCGAATGAAATCGAAATGACTTCCATTATCGAACGGCTAAGCAAATAATTGACTTCAGATCAACACCAGAAGAACAAATGATCGTTGACAGGCAAATAATAATTTACTGCACATACACCAAGTGGCGGATTTCTAAGTAGTACACAGATTTTTATACTTAGGGTCCTTGATCTCACAATAATAACTTCTCAAAGATCAAGCGTAGACTGGTAATGGCCCGAACCGCAACAGCCAAATTAATGAAAATATAAAAAAACCGAACCATAACAAGGAATACTAAGCTCAGGTTATGCCCTTATGTTTTCCATTGCTACATACGCAGCTGAAACATGGGACTATCAAAAAAATCGATAGAAGTAAAACATTCGAAAAAATGGGTCTGTGAAAGAATTCTACGCATGTCTGGATGAAACAGAGAACCAACCTGCCAATTGAGGAAGAGCTTTATATAGAAGACAGACTATTAAAAAACGTATACCAAGCATACCGAAAATTACTTCGGCCACATTGCCACAAAAATGGGGATTATGGAACTATTGGTAATAGAAGGAATGGTAGAAAGCCGAAGATAAAGACCAATATCTACAACACGATGGGCAGACCATATGAAGACTTTGATGGAAAAATCATTAGTATCGTAGACAATAGAGACAAGGAATGAGAAGAAGATTGTTCAGTGTTCATGACATTATGGTTACTGCTCCTTGTTCTTGTAGAAATATGTGTAATTCTTAATCTTCAATAAAACACAAAAAAAGGCAACTGAATTTATTTCCAATAAACTTTTCAGTTATTTAAAAATCCACTAGAAAACTAAGTTCCTGTAGCTGGCTGTATACCATATATTACAAAAAATTTATTTCAAATCCTTTATAAAAGGTATATAATAAAATGCCCAAACGGGCATCACAATTATTTTACAAAACGTTTTCGGATTGTTAAATCCATCATCAGTGTAAACGAGGTATACATGCTATGAGCCAACAAAATATATGAGTCAAAACCCTTTAAATGATATAAATTTACAGTTGTTTTACATTATATATGGTTACAAATTATGATGTTTAAGTAACCGTTGGGATTGGTAACATGGCGACGTATGACCCTACATGGGTAAAACGGTCCTGAGACGAATTGTCTTCGAGGACCTGTTGATAACAACTGTTATCAACTGTGACAACCTGTTGAGTTGTTATCAATAGGTCCTCGAAGACTCTTCGTCTCAGGACCATTTTACCTATGTAGGATCATACGTCGCCATGTTTACCAATTCCAACGGTAACTTAAACATAATAATTTGTCACCATATATAATGTAAAACAACTGTAAATTTATATCATTTATAGGGTTTTGACCCATATATTTTGTTGGCTCATAGCATGTATACCTCGTTTACACTGATGATGGATTTAACAATCCGAAAACGTTTTGTAATATAATTGTGATAGCCCGTTTGGGCATTTTATTATATACCTTTTATAAAGGATTTGAAATTAATTTTTCAGTTATTTGTTAACTAAGAATAATATTTACATTAATATATTTTACTAAAATTGTTTATAATTTTAAATTAGGAAAAACATTTTCAACAAATATTCACAAATCTTTAGCTAACAACTGCTTCGAACTATAACTAATTTCTTCTTTTACTAACATACACTGTTGAAATGATTTTCGAAAAATGTTGAATGTATTTTTCAGACTTCATGCTCCCTTCCGCCCGGTAAAATGGACGTTTTTAAAATAGATCAATCGTTAAGCGGTAACTTGGGTAGTTCTCCCACCTCTGAAAAAATTAATCAGCAGGATATTAGCTTTGAGGCGGGTTCCGAATTCAATTTATGTTTTTTCGACACTCCTGAAGATACTCAAGGATTTAGTGATCCTAGTTCTGTTGGTTCCACGACTAATGGTTCACCACCACCCCAACAATTGACACCTTTACACATACCCCTAACGGTTACGCCAGTTCAGAGCCCGATTTTGCTTTCTTCTCCTGGAGGAACAACTTCAACGATTACTGTAAAACAAGGTAAATAAAAAATTATTTCATATTATACATATAAAAATACAATAGCTTCAAAATATATAATAATAATTAAAAGTAAGAGCTGGACGTGCTTAAAAAGGGCATCAACCTTAATATGTATGTACATAATATTATAGTATATAAGTAAATCTCCTTACAGTATGAAAAGTGCTTTTCATCCTTAATTAAGCATATTTGATATTCTGCTTTGCTTAAAGTCTCGAACGTGAAAGTTTGAATAAAAATGTTTTTTTATTAATAAAACTCTAGCGGGAGTATCATGATTATTGCTATCTGATCATCACTACGATCGATAAGCAAGTTAGATGTATCCTAATTTAATACTAGATGAGATATTCACCAACAATCCTTAGAATCTAATGCATAGTAACAGTACTAAGTAGCGTGTATAATAATTTAGCCGCATCTTTCTCTGCTATTTTAGATATCACATTACTCTTCATTCTCTCGAACGGTTTTGTTTTGTTGTCTAGGAGTTTGATGGTAACTACATTCACATGGTTGGAGAGCCGTTGTTTCTGACTCTTGGCAAACTTAGTCTATCGGTCTGGAATTAAAACAAACGAATTATTAGACTTAGTTTAATTGTAAAAGCTCCATTGTACTTCTGATGAAGCTAACAATGATTCGCCTAAGTACTTTTCTTTCGAAACATACTAACCTGTTTTCATTATTATTTGTTAGAGTCCAGGTCTCTGAACCATATATTAGGCCTGGGCGTATTATTGTTTTGTAGAGTTTTATTTGTGTATTTCTCGACATAGTTATTAATTTAAGGAGGAGATTGAGCTCAAAATAGCATCTGTTGGCCGTGCAAATTCTATTATTTTCAGTTTTAAAGAGCGCTCACAGTTATACAAAATTGTTTACTTCGCTTCGATGACGTCGTTTTCTATAACGAGTGGTCGTAGGATTTGTGGTTGTGTGCTTATTTTCATATACTTTCATATACGTTTTTTTTTGGTGTTTATTATTAAATCCATTTTTGTAGCTGATACTTTTAATGCTACATACGCCTCTCGTACAGCGTTTTACGTTCTCCCACCAATATTGATATCATCAGCATAGGCAAGGATTTGCACTGGTTTATTATATATTGAATCAGTGGTTGTGATTTGTGACATACGTATTACTTTTTTTAGAGCCAAATTAAACAGTATACAGAAGAGAGGGTCTCCCTGGCGCAGCCCATTATTCGTTTTGAAAGGTTCAGACAGTTCCCCCTGAATTTGTACTCTACATTTAACTTTTTCAAGAGTTGATTTTGTTAAATTTACCAACTGATTTTTATCATTTGCTTCGAACATTTCGCTTCTATTCGGCACAGAGTCGTAGGCGGCTTTGTAATCTATAAATATGCGATGAGTATCAATGCTATATTCCAGTTTTTTTCCAAAATTTGTCTTAAGGTTGTAATCTGATGAATTGTAGATTTACCAGCTCTGAAACTAACCTGGTATTTTTTTACTATCCGTTCTGCATATGGTGCCATACGGTCACATAGTACTGTGGAAAATATTTTATAAGCTGTATTTAAAAGCAAAATTTCTATGTGGTTAGAGCATTCAAAGATATCTCCTTTTTTGTGTATGGTGCAAAGTATTCCAATATTCCAATCATTGGAGAGGGATTTCTGTGTCCATATTTCTTTTATAAGCTGCTGTAATGCCATAATGGTATGGTTACTTTCTTTATATAGTTCAGCTGGGAGATTATCTATTCCGGGTGATTTAATTCTGGCTAGTTTTTTAACGGCATCTTTAACTTCGATAATCGTTGGTGGTTCCTCTTTCCTCTGATCTTCTCCTCTCACCTCACCTCTTTCGTCTTGCAGGTTTTCTTCTTCTTCCTCCACATTAAGTGCCTGGGTAAAGTATTCCACCCATCTACTCAATATATTCTTCCTTGTTGTTAATAGGTCGCCATTCTGACTTCTGCATTGTCTTGTGGTTGCGTTGGATTTTTTTCTGTTGATGTAAACATTTTTATGGAAATGCTATGAATTCTTTCTCTCTGTTAAGTTTTTCTATATATGTAATATACTGCGGCGCTCCGCTGTGCCATATGTACAACTACTGGGGCTCCGCTGTCACCACTGTACAACTAGCGGGAGGTTATATCCCCTATTGTAACATCTGGAACTAGAGGGTGAGAAAATCTTTACCACTGTACAACGCTGTTACCACTGTAATATACTGGTAATGAACCTTAAAGGATGCTTATCCCAGCGAGCGGCTGCAAGGAATACTGGTCCCACTAGTCTGGAGGGCTGGCTCGCCTTCGTGGATTTACGAGAAGGTAAGGAACTTCGGAATAGAGGTTAAGGACTTCTAGGTCTCAGTTCCTGTAAAGAGTTTGAGTCTATGGGCTTACTTTAGAAGCCGGATAAATGTATAAGCCGAAATTTGGTACTCTTCTGGTCTCTGTCTGAATCGGTCAGAAGGAACATAAAAACCAATTTTAGAGTCTACAAATGCATTGAATATAATATGTGGTTTACAATTAAGTTAACAAGCTGTCAGATATAATTAATAATAACTAGTTCGGCGCGAAGGGAGACGAGAAGAGATCTTAGCAAGGAAGTAAAGGGGTAACAATCTGTAATACTATAATTTACTCTTTTTAGTATATAGAATTTTATTACATTTCGCGTATTTAGGCTCTAGCTAATGATATGCCCTTCAGTTCCTCTGGAAATCGGATTCCTTTCAGTACCCGACACTTATACGGAATAATACCCCGTCGAAATATAACAATTGCGCGTAATCCGCACCTGGTGCCGACTCTCGTATTAACAAACCTGCCCGAAGACACCGACTGCCTGGCTATTACTGATCGCGTACTGGACGCTATCGCGTCCGACCCGGAGCCGGCGATCACTGCCTGAGCGGGCAGTTACGGTGCCCAGCTATTACTGACTGATTGACCAATTTTTTTAGTTTTTATGTCCCGCGAACATTCCTAGTTTATTTGCTGATTCTGCTGTACTGTTCCACGTGTTGGAATGAAACATGCGATGGTGTGTCGCTTCGTATTAATTTTCACGAAGGTCTTCAGATTTCGTAATTCTTAAATATTCGGGCTTGTGTCAAACTAGGTCAATTGTTATTATTTGTATAATTAAAAATGTATACGTTACTGTATTTAATATGGAATATATAATAATTAATTGAATGATTATTATTCTCCCTATGCTACTAGCCCTTATTTTTTCTATTCTTTATTTTCTTGCTATGTTTACATTACATATATTAAAGTTCCGTATTTAGGTGGTTTTGTTTTTTTCTTTTGTGTATCCTCTTTTTTTCTCTTCTCTTTGTCTGGTAATTCTCTACAATTGTTCTAGTTCGGATTCTATACACCCTATACTTGTACTTCCGAGAGTCCATGTTTCCACTCCGTATAGCAATAAGAAATAAATAAATGTTTTTACAAATTGATATCGGATATCCAACGATAAGAGTTTATTAGAAATGTTTAATGCATTCATTATTGTTTACACTTGGATGTACTTAATGTTACACTTACTTAATGTTGTACCCTTCTTTGCACCCGTAGGGTATTTGGGTTTTAATAACTTTTCATTGGTTTAATATATCGCTTAAAATAATTATTGAGAAAATGGTTCTCTTTAGAGAAAAAAATAGGGAGAACATTAACTTGGGAAAAGATCACTGCAGGAGCAATGCATTTATCTCAATAGTGTTAGAAGAACCTAATGATTTACAGGGCAACAACTAACAACAGCCACGGAGGAAGCTACAGCTATCTGAGGAAAGGTATGCCAAACGTTTTCTATGTTTTAAAACCTATATTCTCTCATTTTAGCATCAACTATTTCCGCACTTACACTTGTTATAATAAAACGTTCGTAATTTTATTCTTTTTTGTTTGCACCTTATCAATCTAATCATTGTGATGTCTGTAACAATCATTCCTTTTCCTTCATTCTTCTTAACTACTTAACATTCTGCACAATACATTATATTTGGTCTTCCAGCGGTATTACAGAAATTACCCCTAAGTTTCATTTTAACTTGTTTATAACACCACATGCCTTATTTCATTTAGTTTTTAAGTGTGTAAGTGGAAACTATGTGCTTGAGATATAAAATGCCCTGATTTAAGTAGCGGTATGATATTTTAATCCATTATAATACATAAAATAAGCACTATCCAGAGCACAAGTCTATATACAAACTAAAATTCTTGCCAGAAATTTTAAATTGCAATTTAAACCATCGCTTTACAGACCGTACAGACTGTACGGTGTCACTATCAATATTTGGCACGGATATTGAGAATTGTATGCCAAATATTTGCAATTTTGCTCATAAAACTAAACTATGAGATTTAAAGAGAAGTGTATGCAGTTTTTATTATAATTATCATAATATATTCTTTAAAAAAACTAAAGCAAAGGGCGTTTCTAAAAAATACAGAGTAAAAACGTTAGTAAAAGGAAATATAAATAATATAATGAAAAACGTACAAAAGTACAGAAAATAGAATGTCGATAATGACAATTACTTATTAGGCAACTTCTAATTTACATCCAAAATCTGAAGAAAAGTATAGTATAGTAAAAGTATTAAGATTAAGTTGAAAACCTAGAAAACTACTGAAAAGTATCGAAAATTTGTAAATAAAATTTGGGAATAAAGAATACATTAACCTGAAAAATTATGACGAAGCGGTTAGTCATGGTATTTCAGGCACCAGCAAGAAGTATTACTACTTGACTTGACAATGGCAAGTGAGTTATTAGGTACCTAATTCGCTATCGAAGATGGCTCTCCGACTTCTTGTTGATTCGTATAGATGCGGCTGCTAGTGTAGTCTGGCAGATATTGTTACTATAACGGCCAAATACTAGACTGCATTTCATTTCAGTTTGAACTTCCACAACTGTCCTTGATGAGGAGTTAAGTGCTTCGAAACACGTGTAGAACAATGGTGTTCTATAATTGTTCCTGTTTAAT